TTTGGGGTTTTTTTTGCAAGTGAAACATTTTAGTCTTTATTATGCAAATAATTGAGCCAGGTGTTCATTTACAGACATAGTTAGAAAAGTGTGCGTTCTGTTTATTGGGCCTCTGACTATGAGAATTCTTAACCATGTTCTGTAGAAGCTTTTTAGTGGTGACTTAAGTGAGCTATATTGCTGAATATTACCTGAATTCTAACATATCTTTCTTACAAAAGGACCGAGTAGGAGGAAGAGTTGCTACGTTTCGTAAAGGGAACTACGTTGCTGATCTAGGAGCAATGGTAGTAACAGGACTTGGTGAGTCATCCAAAATAAAAAGGAGGGGAGAGGAAAATTTTGGGTCAAGTTATTACACATCTGAAATCTTTCATAGTCAAAGTAATTGAGACTTTAACTATCTAAAAATTGACATTCTAGTTTGGCCTCTTTGGTAGTTATCATTTTTTCATCAGTGAATCTTCATAATAGATCTCAGCCCACAAGAGAAGATGGGATTTTTGTTGATGACCTCGTTCTCCCTGGTCACTGAAATCATGTAGGTGCTTGTCATGTCATCAAATGTTGTGATGCATTTTATATCATTTGCTCATGCTTAGTGGAATTTTGCTGTTTCCTTGGCATGCTATCTTTTGGCGTGTGTCTTCTTTCTTTGCCTAATTCCTGTAAGATGGTATCTGAACTGGATTTCACTGCACTAGCTGAGCAAATCTTTCTAAAGCTGCTTTACCCAGCTGCCAATAGCCTCTGATCGGAGGACTGAGTATGTAGGTAATCCTGCAATTGAGTGTGGAGAGGTAAGAAGGTAGTGAGGAGATTAGTTAAGTAGCAAAGAGGCTGATAAGTAAATAGCAGAGTTAAAGGACGGGAGAAGTGCCAAGGAGCTAGAATATGTTTTTACATTTACAGAAAAAAGAGGGGAATGAAGAGCCATTCTAAAGAGAAAGCCCTTGTTAAAAGTCAAGATTTGAACCCAAAAGTGCTTTCTCTAAATGATTTCAAAAGTAGTTGTAAAATTCATGCCAAGCAAGCCATATTTCTTCGCTGCTTAATGCCATTTTATAGGATGGTGTCAATTATTGATACTTGTTACTCTATTAAGAAGGTGCAGATATTTAATGGGGAATATTGTTCACTATTTCAGTGAAATGATTATAAAATTTTATAGAAATTTTAAAACCTGACAGCATTCTACTGACTACCAGATCTTGATGTCCTGTGGGGTGTCTACCTGATTTTTATTCTTAATTAAATTACTTAATAAAAACTCCTTCCAGCCAAAGAGTATTGAAATTGTAGAATCCCAGCTTTAAAGCTGCTTAGCCAAAGACGGTATTATTTTTATATTTAACTCATCATAGATGTTTCCTTCCCAAAAGAATCTACCCTTTGCGTTGAATAAGGTAGCGTATGCTATGGAGAAGGAATCAAGCATTCCTATGTTAAAGGAGACTGTCTGACGGATGTCTTTTGTATTTCTGAACTTAGAAGAGATGTAAAGAATGAGGACTGCTGAAGTAGTGGTTCAGGAAGGTGAAAGACTGAAGATGTGGAATCTCTTTTTTTTTTTTTTGGGTCACAGTTTTCTTTTGCAAGTCAATTCTAGAAAAAATAAATTTAGTTGGCCGATACCTTCCAGGCTGTTGAACTTGAAACATTTGGATAGCCTTCAAATGCTATGCTACTTGTCCAGTAGGCTGAACCTCCCCATGTGTTTGGACCTAAAGGTCCAATTTGATTGGATTTCAGAATCAGGGTTGCTAGACTGGATCCTAAAAACTTTGGAAAAAGTTTTTCGTATAAAGGAAATCCATGCTACCTCTCCTCTGCGTTTTCCTTCAAATGTTTCTGCAGCTCAGGAAACACTTTTCCATTTGTGTCCACTTTTTTCCTTTCCTCTGTTGCATTTACAGAAAAGCTTTTGTTTTTAGTGATAACACAGAACCGCAGAATGCTTTAGGTTTGAAGGGACCTCGGGAGATCATCTAGTCCAACCTCCCTGCTCAAGCAGGGTCCTCAGAGCATGTTTCCCAGGATCGCGTCCAGATGCGTTTTGAATAGCTCCAGGGAAGGAGACTCCACTACCTCTCTGGGCAACCTGTCCCACTGCTCTGGCACCCTCACAGCCAAGAAGTTTTTTTCCTCAGGTTCAGATGGAACTTCCTGTGGTTCAGTTTCTGCCCATTGCCTCTTGTCCTGTCACTGGGCACCACGGAGAAGAGACTGCCCTCCGCTGGACTCTCTCCAGTAGTGCCATGTCTCTCTTGTCCTGGGGAGTCCAGAACTGGACACAGTGCTCCAGGTGAGGCCTCACCAGGGCTGAGGA